AGATAGATAGATAGATAGATAGATAGATAGATAGATAGATAGATAGACAGACAGACAGACAGACAGACAGACAGAGTTATATAGTTATACACATGTACCATTTGAGGGCAGAATGGATTTACAATTTTAATGGTTCATTAGATGGCTTACCTTTACATCCTTATTTCCAACTGCAATTCCCATTTCTACAAAATCTTTTAACAGAGATGCCATCATTTCAGCTGCACGTTTTTTCTGATGATTGGTCATTTCCTTAAGATTTCGAAACTCTGTATCTATACTAGCTAATGTTACCTGGAACACAAAAAAAATGTTGTTACCCAGGTAAATGTTTTCAACAGCCAAAGATCAATTCAAGAGTTCTGCCTTAATTCCAATAACTTCCATATTCATTCAATCATCATACTTTGTTTCCAAAGGGAACATTCTTTCTAAGTTCTGAGAGCTCAGGAGTGGTAGACTCTAAGTTTATTCTCCCTGTACTCTGAAAGATTAGTATGATCACAAAAACTTATGCCTCACTGCCAGAGTTAAAGCCATTAGGCACAATTATCCAACCAAGTTATTGAAGGTACAAGCAACTGCAATACCACTGCCAACTCCCATAAACACCAAAGTATTAGTTACTTTTTAAATTCTTTCCTAGGTGCTCAGAGCTTTTTGCTGACTGCTTTTGACTCTTGACCCCTTCATGAATCACTGCCCTGTGGTGGTGAAGGGGCTTGTGCAGCTCAAAGACACTAGGAGCTATGCTGCACAGGGCCACCGAAGACGGATAGCTCTTCCAGAGGACTCATTGGAAAAGACCCTGAAGTTGTGAAAGATTGAAGGCAAAGGGAGAAGGGGGCGGCAGAAGATGAGATAGTTAGATAGTGTCATTTATGCAGTGGGCATGGGATTGGGAGGACTCCAGCAGACAGAGGAGGACAGGGGGGGCTGGTGTGCTGTGGTCCATGGCAGTGGTCACCAACTGGTGGGCTGCGGCCCACTGGTGTGACGCGAGAAAATTTTGGTGGGCCGCAGAGAAATCTCACCCCCAGAGCACCCCCCAAAAGCAATTAATCCAGGTTGCGCAGAAACACAAGGCTGCGCCGCCCACATGGCCCGCGGGAACCCTCCCCGCCCACTCACTCCTTACCCAGCAAACTTGCCTGCTAAATTGCTATTTTTCCTTTTTCTGACCATCAGCTGTTCTGCTGTGCCAGGAGATTTAGATTAGCTAGGAAGCAGGAAATGGTTGGATTTCTTGCTTTCTAGCTAGTCTTTAGATCTTCGGCTCCGCTTTTAAGCAGAGCCAAACCTCCCTTAGGACTGAAGGTTCTATTATTCAGTGCAGACTCACGGAAGCAAATTTTATGTGACAGACTGAACTAGCCGATGGCAGATAGATAGATCACTGAATGATTCTGTGAGCAACTCAATCTGCCTGCCTGTTTTGCCTGATTTTGGGTAAAAGTTGCTCTTTTTTAAATAAAAAATTCAATATTTACATACATGGTGTCTTGTGAGTTAATTTTGTGAGTTTGCTTGCAAGCAAATTTTATGTGACAGACTGAACTAGAATCTGTGATTCTGTGAGCAACTCAATCTGCCTGCCTGCTTTGCTTGATTTTGGGTAAAAGTTGCTCTTTTTTATAAAAAATTCAATATTTATATAAATATTTATAATATTTACATACAAGCCATGCCCAGCCAGTCACATGACCACCAAGCCACACCCACAAATTAGGCCACGCCCACAGAACTGGTTAGTGGTCCCTGGGATTTAAAATGATGAGTTTGGTGGTCCCTGAGGTCCAAAAGGTTGGCGACCCCGGTCCATGGGGTCACAAAGACTAAGGCACAACTTGGTGGCTGAACAACAAAATAACCTCTTGACAGTGCTGTTCAGGAAAAACGGTCATCTTATGGCAACTGCTGCAAGCAGAAAAAGGATTTCCCACATTTAACTCTTACCCCTGCACCAATTTATTGTCTGCATTTTTAACTGAATTATTAACCAGATGCAAAAATTCTATAGTAAGCCTAGAAGTTGCAACTGACTTATTATGACCCTCAAATATCTTAGATTTCAATGTGTATGAAGACAATCATTTTAAAATCAAACATTAATAAGTTGCATTTTTAAAATGGGTTTGCAGAACACCTTCAATTCTCAAATAGCAGTTTCTATTTGAAGCTTAACATGTCAATGCAAATCAGACAAAATACAACAAGCACATGACACAACACATATAATTAAATGGATCCCTCTGGGAAGTTGTGTATCTTAGGAACAATCCATATAGGGATCTTTAAATAAGATGACACAAAGCTGGTCAAATATACAAATTATATTTATGACTGCATGTTAACAGAAGAAAATTCTTCCGTATCCAATGTTCAATTGATCAATCAGAATAGATCTGGTAGGGACATTGGAGGTCTTTTAGTCCAGCCCCTGCTCAAGCAGGAGATCCTATACCATTTCAGGCAAGTGACTGTCCAGTCTCTTCTTAAAAACCTCCAGTGATGAAACACCCACACCTGAAGGCAAGCTGTTCCACTAGTTAATTGTCCTCACTGTTAGGAAGTTTCTCCTTAATTCCAGGTTGCTTCTCTCCTTGATTAGTTTCCATCACGGGTGGGCTTCAAACATTTTAGCAAAGGGTTCTCTGCCCGGTTGCTGGGTGGGCATGGCCTAGTCAGCCTCCTGCACCACAGCGGGGGGGCATTTTTGCCCTCCCTGGGCTCCGGAGGCTCTCTGGAAGCTGGAAATGGGCCCATTTCCGGCCTTCCAGAACTTCCGGGAGGCCTGTTCTTTACCCTCCTCAAGCCTCCGCGTGCACCCCGCACTTACCTGCATCCAAAACAGGCCACATGAGGACTCCTGGGAGGGGTAGGGCCAGCCAGGAGTGGGATTTGGGGGTTCTCTGAACTGCACAGAATCTTAGCTAAGGCCTCTCCCGAACCCCTGCAAACCCCCAGCAGCCCACCCCTGGTTTCCATCCATTGTTTCTTGTCCTGCACTCTGACGCTTTGGAAAATAAATTGACCCCCTCCTCTTTGTGGCAGCCTCTCAAACACTGGAATACTGCTATCATGTCCCCCTTAGTCCTTCTTTTCTCTAGACTAGCCAAACTGAAATCCTGTTGTTAGGGATATACACCCTAGCAGAACCTGCACGGCAGTCAGGCAGGCAGGCAAATATGTGAGACAAACGTTTTTGTAGCTTACACTCAGTAAAACAGATACAATGTGCTAGTTAAATAGTTTATTCCAGTAATAGTTATAGCATAGTCAAACAGTCCATATATCATACACTAGTTCAGTCCGTCCGGGGATTATTCAGTTGCAAAGTCCAGTGTCGAAAAAGAGGTCGGTAAACTTACAAATATCAGTCCAGTAATATATCTCTTCGCAGTAGAGATATGAAGAAGTAAAACCTCCTTTCTTCCTTCAGCAACAGCAAAGAACACGCAGTTAACAATCCATCATCGTCAGCAAGCAATCCAGTAAGCCAGCAATCAATCAGGTTCTCTTGCTCCCTCTTATGGCGATTTACAGCCGCACCCAAAATTACATGCTTTGCAGTTAAAGTGACACACACTTAAAATCACTATCATAGTCTATATATATTATTTTACCCAAACTATGTTAGGTAACCTATGCTATTCCTAACACCTGTAACCGTTCTTCATATGTTTTAATCTCCAGGCCTTTAATCATCTTAGTTGCTCTTTGCACTTTTATCAGTCTCAACATCTTTTTTTTAACATGGTGACCAAAACTGAATGCAGTATTCCAGGTGTGATCTTACTAAGGCTTTATAAAGCAGTACTAATACTTAACGGGATTTTGCTTCTATGCCTCTGTTTATACAATCAAGGATTGTATTAGCTTTTTTGGCTGTCGCTGCACTGCTGACTCATGTTTAATTGATCATCCACTAAGACTCCAAGGTCCCACTCACAGTTACTGCTTTTGAGCCAGGTTTTGCCTAATCTGTACTTGTATGTTTGGTTTTTCCTGCCTAGGTGTAAAACCTTGCTTTTTTTCCACATTAAATTTCATTGTGTTGGATAGGGCCCATTGTTCAAGTCTGTCAAGATCTTTTTGGATCCTGAGCTTGTCGTCTGGGGTGTTGGCTATTCCTGCCAGTTTAGTGTCATCTGCAAATTTGATGAGTTCCCATCTATTCCCTCATCTAAGTCATTTATGAAGCTATTGAAGAGTACCGAGCCTAAGACAGAAGCTCGTGGTACCCCACTGCTTACTTCCCTCCATGTAGACCAATGGTGGGATTCAAATTTTTTTACTACCAGTTCTGTGTGTTAGGGATATACCCTAGCAGAATGTGCACAGCAGTCAGGCAGTCAGGTGAATATGAGAGAAAGCGTTTTTTAGTTTACACACTCAGTAAAAACGGATACACTGTCTTAGTTGAATAGTTTATTCCATTAAGAGTTTAGCAGGGTCAAACAGTCCAAATATCATTCACTAGTGTTCAGTCAGTTCAGTCCGGAGATTGTTCAATTGCAAAAATCCAGTGTCAAAAAAAAAAGTCAGTTAACTTACAATGTCAATCCATAAATCAGTCCAGTAAATATCTTCTCACAGTAGATTAGATATGCAGCATTCAAAACTCTTTCCTCCTTCGACGTCAGCAACAGGGAACACGCAGAACAATCAACCATCAATCCATTAGCAATCCAGGTTCTCTAGCTCCCTCTTATGGCAGTTTCTCAACCGCACCCAAATTATATCATTTAGAGTTTAAAGTGAAAAACACATTTAAACTTTGCTATCATGGTTTATATATTATTTACCCAAACAACGTTAGGTAACTATGGTTATTCCTAACACTGTGGGTGTGCCTTGGTGAGTGTGGCAGGGGAAGGATACTGTAAAATCTCCAGTCAGAGGTAGTCTTTGCCGGTTCTCTGAACTATTCAAAATTTCCACTACCGGTTCTCCAGAACTGATCAGAACCTGCTGAATACCACCTCTGATGTAGACATAGTACCATTAAGGACTATTCGTTGAGTATGGTTTGTCAGTCAGTTACAAATCCATCTGGTGGTGATACTGTTTATCCCACATTTTTCTAGCTTACCAAGAAGTAGGTTGTGACCTACTTTGTCAAATGCCTTGCTAAAGTCTAAATATACTATGTCCACAGCATTTCGCTGGTCTACTAATTTACTCACTTTGTCAAATAATGAAATAAGATTGGTTTGGCACTATCTGTTTTTAACAAACCCGTGCTGGCTTCTGGTTATAACTTTATTTGTTTCTAGATGTTTTCAGATCTG